CTAATCATTATTTAAACTACCAATTTTTTTTTCAGCCTAGTATCTGCAAGCGCAGGGGTGCCCACAAGGGGGGGCTGTGACGCAGACTGCGTCATTGAAATTCTTGGGGGGGGGGCTAAAAAAATTCAAATGGGGGGGGGCTAAAGCTAATTGCAACAGTGTTCAACGTGACAACAATCAAAAATATATTACGAAGTCGCCGTAATAGTTATATTATTTAATTAAATTAGTTAAAATAGGATTTTAGGATAGTTTAGGATTCGTGTAGAAAGTTATTATTTAAGATTAGCAAGTCGTGAGATCTAAGAGAAAGGGCACGGAATGGCTCAACTGCTGCGATAGATAATAGATAACACGTGGTACAGACACGTCCAGCTACACCGCGAGTTAGCACAAACCGCTTTGTTGACATAAAGCTCGTTAAAATACAATCAAGTAGCAAGTAGCATAGGTTACAATACTTTGAACTTATCTGTAGATACTCGATTACCTGAGTTAATAGGGAGAGGGGGGGGTAATGAAAAATACGGTTAATCCAATATAGTATAAAAACAGATGACAAACTCATTAAAACGCTGTAAACAGCCATTAACGTCACGATTTGCAACGAAATTCAATGTTGCACAATCATTATTATTGTATATAAAAAATAAAATAGTAATCAAGATACTGTAATAATATAAATTAACAAAATTGAAATACTGTTTGTTTGTAGTTTGGACACCTCATGGTTTGTCAGTGGAGAAGATCATGAGAGACGATGAGTTCTGGAGGAAGAATATGGAAAATCCACTAACTGACTTCTATTTCAAATGCATTCTGCCAGAACTTATTGATCCCAGATACCCAAGAGGGCTACCCATCAGAGATAGGATATAAATTCTATTAGGGTCTATATCCGAGATTTAATTCATCAAATCATCAAAATCTATAATCCATAATCAACTCAATCATCAAATCCTTATTAATAAATATATTTTCAAATAATTTTATAATCCTACCGAGTTTTTAAATAGTTGCCATGTAATCCAGGATGTGGACTAGGGTCCTGTTGGAAAATAAAATAATATTAGGTACCCTTTATGTATTTGTTGTGTATACTTTGCATATAGTGAAGGACAAATTATAATGTGTATTTGTACGTCATGTACACAAATTTCCTTTTTTTACTGCTAATGTCCATAATTTTAAGATGTCTAATGGTGTAGAAAAAAAGTAATAATTTTGAATAACAAACATAGCTTACTTCGCTACATTCTACCATAGATGAAACAAACTTGTTGCTTAGTCTATGATTATACTGTACGCGACATCGGAGCGCTTAGGCCTCTTTTATGCACGGCGTTTTCCGTCGGGCGGAATCTATCGGGCATTCCGTCGGTGAGTGTTTTAACATGGGATCAAATGGGACCCTTTTATGCACGACGGAATCTCCGTCGCGTTTCAGAATTCCGTCGGAGGCCGACGGAGGACTTAGACTCCGCCGAGTTTCGGCGTTTCGTGGAGCGTGTTTTTACATAGGTTCAAATGGAACCCTTTTATGCAACTGCGTTTTCCGTCGGGCGGAATGTAGTGCTGCCAACGTACCCCACGCTCTGTCATCCACAGTATTGAAATCACCTACGGTAATCATTGTAAATAGAATATCATTATTCGTTGTAATTGATAGAAGAGTACAAATAAAGCGATGTAATTAGGGGAAAAAACTGCATGAGAATTAATTACATTTTTGTTTAAATCCGCGGAATAATACAAACTTACTGTTTCGTAGGAACTTCTCAAACTTTTCCCCATCATTTCGCAGCAACCCATATAGGTTTGTGAAAGCCCCATCCACCCTACGACTTTTATTAACCGGGTGTACAGCCCACCTCCTTCGCCGTCGTCTATTTCTCTTCATGTACATATAATTATACACCAATACATAAGGATCCATCTTGGGTCACTGACGATGGCAAAATTAACGAAGTTGGTAGCACTGACCACCCCCGCCACGGGCATCAGCGGATTCCGCTCGGCGGAGAAACTGCATAAAAGGGACATCGATTCCGCCCGACGATTTCGCCCGACCGAAAACGCCGTGCATAAAAGAGGCCTAACACCCAGTAGTAGCCTAGTTTGAGTTGTGTGGTTGTGTTGATGCGACGAGGCAAGGCTACCGAAAAGCGCTGGTCTACTGTGGCCGTGGCTGGCAGTGAGTGGTGCGCGGGCGGGCGCGACTGCGCGTGCGAGAGCCATCTCAGTCTCAAGCGCTGTGCAGCCCGGAGTTCGTTGCTTGCCAGTTGCGGCCATCTTGCCATTTCCCCTCTCGCCGCATCGCTGCTAGCGCTCCCAACTCATAACGGCGTAACTGGCGTTAGCAACAACGATCGCAGGATTTCTACTGCGGGTAAAGCGCGCCCTTAAGATTGTTATGATATTTGTCGACAATAACATGTAAGTCATGGCGGATAATGATAATCTGTGACACAAAATTCTAGGGGGGGAATAAACTAATATTCACCTAAGTCAGGCTAGGCCTACCCCTAGAACCGGCCACACTCAAATTTCTTCCCCGGAGTGCTCAGAAGGAGCCGAGAAAAATCCAGGGGTCGATACAAAGTTGTCGCGGCTTTGACTGATCAATTTATTTAAATTTAATCTAAGGCTCAGAGCTCTAGAAGCGCTCAGGAAATCCTGCAGACGCCCAGTTGGAGCTATATCATCCCAGCCTTCGTAAAAGTGTTGTGGAGAATTTTGCCTGACTTTTAGAATGACTCTGTAGGGCAGGTAAGTATTCTATCTGGGCCAATGCGATAAAATGCTCGTATTAAACTTTAAATTAATTAGTCAAAGACGTTGGTAATTGATCTAATATCGAATGTAAGTAAAAGAATTCCTACAGAGTCGTTGGGCCTAATTAATATAATTGAACGTAGAATTTATCGTGTTACAGTTTAAAATAAATTTAATACTAGTAATATTCGTGGCTGACGATTGTTCAAATCAGCCTGCTCCCAAGACTTGATTCTTTCACCCGCCAAAGACGGGGTTTAGAACTTAGACGACAAGTCTCGGGGTACTAAACGACGAATTAACTAAAATAAACGTACGTAACAATTCTTTAAGCGAACGGAACAAATGTAATTTCGTAGCCAATTGATTTAAACGAGCCGAAAGGTATCCACCGCTAGTCACTGGCAGGCAGGAACTGGCGGGTTGTATGCAAGTCGGCGAAAACTAATTTAGATAAGTCAAATCGGTAATTTAAGAAAACGAAAAGGATAATAAGTTAAGTACAGTATGCGTAAGATAAAACAGAAATAACGTAAATCGTAAAAAGGGGCCTAACTAGTGTGTTAGCTGACCTTCGTAATAGGATCGTAGGGTCGTATTCGTAGTTCGTGCGAGCTAGTCGGCGGTCAAACAGCGAATAATTCTTGTCCGCCTCAAATCATGATTTCCTCGGTCGAGGCTTAATCGCTCTGGTGGTGAGTTTGAGAACTAGCCAACAGCTGATCGGAAATTCACCTGTTGAGCCGGTCTAGTTGTCGTCTGTCGTTGGTCAACAAACACCATTTCGAGGTTAAGTGATGTTGTAATCGGCGTTAAATATTCGTAAAATTGGTCGTTTTAACTTTATTATGTGAAACGGAGTGCTATTATGAATAAATATATCGTTGTGGGTGTGTTTGTGTACTTCACTGTTATTAAAAGTAGGCCTACGTTCTTTGGCCCATAGCCAAAGCTATGGCCAACACATAGGCCTCAGAGTAGGATGTTGTGGATAAAAATCGGGTAAGTAAGGGTGTTTGTTGACTAGCAATACGTTTTTACCCCCCTTAAAATTTGGTACCTCACAAATCTATGATCTATGATGACGTGTTACATCCTAAAGCAATGGGTTTGGTTATTCAGAACACATTCTTGGCTTGGGGAATAGACTAAGGGTGTAGCCGAGGGGGGACACTGGGAAGACCGGGTTATGTATACCGTGGAGATGAAATATGTAGGTAATTGACTGACTGTTGTGCTAGGGCCTGGAGGACTCTAGTATGTTGGAATTAAGAGCGTGCTATCCTCTGCTACCCTCATAGAGTGACAATTTAATAGGAAACGTTGTTGGGGGAAATCTTTACCAAGACCAGATACAGCCCAAGCTAGCTTCGATTACTTATAATTTAACTAGAACACAGAACTATAGCTAACCTTCCAAACTAAATTGCTTAGTAGTGTGAAAATTGAGACGATAATAAAATAGGTCTGTGGCATTCCCCAACTCCTTATTGAATATATTTGGACTCGTTAAGCGAGGTAATCATAATTTTTGGAATTTACATTTCTGCGAATGGAGCAAAAGCCTGCCGGCTTAATATTAAATTGTTAAACTAGCCTGTCATCTTAATCTTAGATCTACTTAATATTTAAAGACTTATCCCGAGTTACGAAAGCCATGGAATTTCGGTTCGGCAAGGGTGACATTGCTATTCCTACCAAATCCGGCGAGAGAACGGAGGAATTCTCGATTCCGTAGCTCCTCGACCGTTTCTATGAAAAAAAAAAACAGCGGCAGGCCGAAAGAGGCACGCTGAAGGCAGGCGATTTCGTTATGTGGCACTATATAAACTAGTGGTGCTAAGCGTAACGAGGGAAATTTAAATTTTTAATCATAACGCTTTGGAAAGCAGAGTTGTCTTAGCACCTAAACCCCCTAACCCATGTGCTGTTAAAATTTGTATTGCTCAACAAAAATAAGATGTGTTTAACATGATTTACAATTAAATCCTCGTAATGTTCTCAAATTTGTTATAGAAGTTTTGGAAGAATAATGTTCTTACTGATATTCTAAATCATGTGGTTAATTTTAGCAGCACTAAACAGGTTGTCCAAGTGGCAACTCCACAAGGGAGATAACGTTCTTACTTTAGTTTCTTGTAAAATTTCATAGTTGACGGATTGTTATACGGTGGAACCTGGAATCGTTCGATTATATTTATAATAAGATAGAGGTAGAGACTGACCTTATAAAATACATCAGGCACGTATTGCTTGTCTGATGACTCCCGGATGTAGCCGAGCTCTGGAGCATCCCGCGTAGGTACCAGACAGTCGTCCCTCACCAGGGCCATACACTGGTTACTGACACTATACCCCTCCATGTGTACTTGGTTGGTGGCGTCTCCTACAATTACAACATCAGTTCAGCACAAGACAAATATTCTGATTTTGTAATTAGTAAATTTCAAATAGTTGGAATATTTGGGCAAGAATTGGGCTTTAACATTTTACAATCATGCTTGAGATACAGTAGAACCTCTTTAACCCGAACCTCCGTAATCCGAACGTCCACTAATCCGAACGTCTCATTGCTGTACTCTATACACACTACAGTAGTTCTTTATTGTATACTGTATTTAATGTACAGTACAGTTTATTCACTATGTTTACTACTGTATTAAATAAACACTGTATTTTACTTTATAAAGCATTTTTTCACTTTTCCCGCACCAATTACAATCAATTTTAGCCAGGTTTTAGCTATTGTTATGTAAAAACAACAATATGTTCTGTAATCCGAACTATTCAATAGTCCGAACTACCCCCGGTCCCAATTAGTTCGGATTAAAGAGGTTCTACTGTAGTAACAAATGTGACAAATCTTTGTGTTTTTATTTTTGTTTATTGATGGCTCCCAGCTACTTAAGAACGTTATTTTGCCTTTCTGCCAAAAATTGTTACCACATAAATTAAGTTTCATCATTTTATAAATTATAATTAAGATATTTCAAATCTAACGATTTTATCTGAGGAAATTTAAGTACTGAGGGAAAAATTTGAGAATATATCAGATGAATAGAACTAGACTACAGTAGAACCCCTTAAGTTAAGCAAATAGACGGATAACAGAAATCCTGTTAGAAACCTGTACAGTTAGTTGATTTAAAAGGGTTTGGAATGAACCACAGTAAACCCTGTACAAGTGAATAAATAATACATATTTATTATTTAAATTACTTACATACTACAATAATACAGAACTATTATTTTGTACGTTGTACTTGTTCAATGTTCGTACAGTGAAAATAAAATTGCATTACAGAATAATCTAAATACTGTATTAAGGAGAGCAGGTGGCGGATAACAGAGAATCACGGTTAAATAAAAGCGTGACGGTTAATCGAGGTTTACTGTACTTTGCTAACACTAAAAACCACTATGAAACACATGATACATTTGATCCTAAAAGGCAAATAAATCATAGGTCTTGACTATTGATGAATTACATTGAACACTCCACTGTTCAATTTTACCAATGTGAGCATTTGCTGAAGAATATTACAAGATGCTGGTGTAAAAACACGGTTAAAAACTTTTAACGAACATAGTAGCTCAGTGATGGGGTCAGGTCGTTAACTGAGAATCCAAACATTGCTAAGTTCAAAACCAGCAACCTTAGCTATTTTATTTTGTCGCATGCCTAAGTGTTTTACAATATAATAAACTGTCTTTCCGTCACTAATAGTGTGTGACGACAGACTTCGATTTCAAGTGTAGATTGAGGTACTGACCTGTGACGCAGACTGTGACAAACTTGGAGCCGAAGTAGCCGGTGGAGGAGTAACGGCAGGGGTTTGGATGCAGGTTCTGATAGTGACCAGCCATCACACACTCCTGCGCTGAGAGGAAGTGTGTGTTGACGTTGCGGACATGCTTCACCTACAACAACATAAACACTCTTTGTATCAATAACTGAATAGTGTAGACATTTAAACAAAGAGAAAAGAAATAGGAATACGGGGATAGCCAAACTTTCAAGCTAATTGGCAATATTGTTTTTTTTTACTCACGAGTTCTCACAATCTTTTTTGTTTGGACCAAATGAAAAAAATCTAGCTTGATTCAAATTTTATGTAGAAATTTTGAAAATAGGCCTATTAAAATATCAAATCAAGATAAATTCAATTAGCAACAGAATGACATTACCGTTCCCTTCTGAAGGTCTTCAGGCAGCAAGTCAGTAAATATCCAGCCAACTCTCCGCAGTCCCAACTGAGCAGCCAGCGCCTCCACAATCTCCTCTCTTTCATCTGGCAACAGCTGTATACGATCTGCTGAGCTCTCCTGCGGAACACACCATAGCTAAGGTAACTTAGCTTACTGATAACCTAAATTGTTTTAACCTAAATGTTTTGTACATATTGTTTTTAAAATTTGAATCTTATTTAATTACTACTTTGGCCAGGCATAGTGTAAATTATTACCAAGTAATAATTAAAGTAAGTTAACTCACATTAAATGGCAAAAGTAATATACTCTCAGAGAATTCTTGAAATACGTTTATATTATAACAGCGTCAGGTTCTTCAATAAGCTGTCTGAACCCCTTAAAGTGGCGGAAGACATTTTAGTTTAATTGATATTCTTGCGACGCTATAATATAGATTTACTCTCTGCATAAAGGTGTTTTGATTTAACTAGGTTCTCTTTGTCACTTTTTTTACACATAACTCAAGCTGTTAATTTAAGAACTTGATATGAAGTGATACAACATTGTTTTTGAAGCTGTTATTTCTATGTACTCACCTGGGGAGGTTCGTATATCGCTGCTACCACGGCCCGTATGCCCAGTGGGACGTCCGTATGTGTCTCGTACCTGCCGTACAGCAAGCCTAGCCGCTGGTGTCCAGAGATGCGCCAATACTGCAGAAAACGCTCCACAAGCTCCGTGTTCTCAAACATCACGTTGTCCACATGCCGATAACTCTGTGTCCAAGCAACAAAGTGTTCTATATATATTTGTGCATTTGGCTTAACAATGTGGATTCTTGCCAATTCACTATGAATTGTGAGCGGTGGATCCAATCCGTCAGCAAAAAGTAACTAACATGTGTAATAATTATGAAGTTACCAGTACCTTAAAAAAGCAATAAAAAGCAATCTATAATATTGCTTTTCCCCTTTCACCCATCCTACTTTAAACCAATTTTTACAATTGATGTATAATTTTAAAGCTTAAATGATCAAGAGTAGGGATGAATGGTAGGTAAAAAGTAAATGGTAAGTAAACAAAAATATGCTTTTCATCTAGTAACTGTCTTAAAGTGTATATTATTTAAAAATGGAGATGTTTTTATTTGAATACCATTTTTTTAGCAACAAACAGTGGTCGTTCAAAGGGGGGGGGGCTACAGGAGCTAAAGCCCTCTCCCCCAATTGGACCCTGGAAAATAAATTTAAACATATATGTTTTTTGTCCTTAAAACGTGCAATATTATAAAACAGACAGCAATGTAGTTTTTGCCAAATAAATTAAATAAGCGATAGCAGGATTAGTATTAAGATCCACCTGGATAAACTTTGTGGGGCAATAGCACGACGAATATAACAATAAAAGTTGTACACATAATCCAATTTTTCCAGCAGTCAGCTGTTGACATGCTAGGCCGCAGAGGCGCAGGCAAGCGCCGAGCAAGACAGTGAGGACGGGGAAACAGCTGATTTCATGTTCCTAGTTGTCAAATTGTCTACTTAACAGACATCATCATCAGAAGTAACGCCAGTAGGCTATAATTTGATACTATATCGTGGTTTGTCTACTGTGACTAATTTATTGCTGTTGTTGGATAGTTAAAATATTTTATGTAGTGCCGAAAACTGCAAGAGATTTTTGGAATTGGAGAGAAACGTAAGCAGAAAAAAACGTATCTACTTGCTTGCATGACAGGTGAAATAAGAGGCTTTTGGAGAATTGGATACAGTTCTAGACGTTAAAAATGGCTTTATAAGTCACCAAACGACTTTTTAGGAGATATGACCGTAGTCTACAGTATGTTTTTAAATGAATGCAAGTTCGTCATATTTAAATTTTAAAAATGTCTACTTGCTCATGACAAATAACAGGTGAAATAGGAGGTTTTTGGACAATTGGACAAAGTTCTAGACATGAATAATGGCTTTAGAAAGTCACCAAACTGCTTTTAGGAGGATATGGCATTAAGGACACAGTTCTAGGCATTAAAAATGGCTTTATAAAGTCACTAAACGGCTTTGGGAGATATGGCTGAAGTCTACATTATGTTTTGAAATTCATGAATGCAATCGTCACAGTTTAGTTTTTCAATGTCTACTTGCTTATGACAAACAACAGGTGAAATGGGAGTTTTTGAACAATTGGACACAGGTTTAAGCGTTAAAAATGGCTTTAGAAAGTCATCAAACTAGTTTGGAAGTGCAAAAAAAATCCCCTGGACCCCGAACCCCCCCCCTTGACAAGGTCCTAGAACCACCACTGGCAACAAAGTAATCTTTGTAAGGTAAAAGGGTATCACATTATTCCCTTCTAGCCTTGGAGACAAGGTTTAGAACCATATTAATCTGTGAAGTTTATGCATAGGTCCCATCATTATAAATAACTGAAAAACCTGACATACATAGAAATAAAAATACAATTAAATTACGTGATCTAATTATACATCTACATATTTAACAATTTATGCACATTTCTTAAAATTTTTTATAAACAAATTTTTACAAATTTAACAAAAAAAGACCACAAATCTAAACACTTTCGCATACTTGCACCAGCAATCACGCAAAGACATAGCAGACTTCGGACATGCCAGCCGAGACCATCATTCTGCTCAAAGTAGAGATTTTTCAGAGCTACCACAAAATGAAAATGTTTTTCGAGGGTTTTAATGTGCAGGGGTAGGCCAAGCCGTTCCACTGACGGCAAGCGGTAACAACAAAAGCCCTGGCATAAGCTGTGGTCACATGATGAGGTATATTAAGGCTTGAGGTATATCAAAGCCTACTACATTATGCAGTCATGATTTGGAAACACAAATCAAATCAACAGGCATAAGCCTGAATGTGAAAAAATTTTAAAAAATCTTTCAAGCACTGGAGGTCAAAATTTATATTTGTATTTTCCATTTTACGCACATAAAGTTAGATTGCAACAATAGTACCTTACTGGTCTTTACCTGTCTGTTGAGTGTAATGGCGTTGGGCTGACAATGAGAGCAGATCCCTCTAGGCCATGGGGGATGTTTCTTACACGCAGGTCCAGGCTTGATACGGCACGTGATGTCTTCTAACGCAGCGTACTTTCCTCTGTAACAACCACTAGGTTACATTTTGCCTTGGTTTGTTCATAAGATTCTATAGAGAATTGAATGTGGATATTTGATCTTTTAGGGTAGTTAAACAGCTACAAAGTTTGACTGTTCAACCCTACCAAAACTACTGGAATACACAAATCTTACTTAATAGAGTACTATAATATTATGGTACAATTACCTTGTCAAGTAATCCAAATGTTGATTGAGGTTAACAACCTACATGTTTTGCCGTAAATGCGGCATCGTCAGGGTTACAAAAACAAAGACATTAATGTCACACGGACACAATAAATACACGAATACAAACAATTAATTGACATTGATAGGCCTATCACACCCACACAACACGTACGGTCCCGGCGCAGGTAGTAGACTGCAGTGTCAGACTCCTTCCTCGTTGTTGTCCATGTTATCAGTCAGTTGACGAGGTAATTGTACCATAATATTATAAGACATATAAAGTAATCCAGGGGCCATCAACATGGAATTTAATAGAGTATAACAGAGGCTAACTTATGCTTTCAAAATAAAGCCAGGCTTACACTAGAACTTGTATTTATAAAGTTATTATTAAATGTGTACAAGAGGACAAACAATCGTCTACAGTTCCATTGTCTTGATTCAAATACTCCTTGACTGCATAAAAGCTTACACATACGTAATAATTTCTTCTAATGTCCATTATATTTCCAATTAATTTGCTTATTCATATTCATTGGCCTTCCTCATTGACCCTCTGGCAGAGAGAACACACAAAACTAAGACTAGACGCACCACATAAATTAAAACTGGTACCTTTATTTAAAAAAAATTACAAATCTGTTTCAACTGATGAAAAGAACTATACTTATTCAAAGGGTTAGCTCATAAGTTAAAGTTATTAAGAATGTACATAAAAAACTGAGTAAGCTCTTCTTATATTTCATGGTCCACATGCATGAGACTTACTTATCCTGGCCAGCAGTCATCTTGCGCAGGTATGCGTGGAAGGACATATGCTTGATGTTGTGTTCCCGCAGGTAAGCTTCATCGTAAGGCTCAATGGAAGAGCAGTTGAAACATCTACTGTTACCTACGTGTTGGCAGCTGAAAAACACAACACAACAACTTTACCCAACCTGATTTAATTGTAACCTATGAATATAAAATATACTGTAGATAATACACTGTAGAATATACTGTAGAGAATCTAAAATTGCCTGAAACAAAATATTATTACTAATTCAAAAGAGTCTAGGTGGGTGTTTGGATTGAAAAATACAGCAAATTAATGGAACAAAAACAGACTTGAGATTAGGTTGAAGAGGGAATTGAAAAGAGAAAAGTGAAAATTGTGATTAAAAAATAAATTACAGATGAAATTGGAGAGAATTAGAAAGACCACAAAAATGGACGGATGTCACATTATTTGTTAAATGAGAAATGAATTGCAATTTATCCTATGGATAGTGTTAAAATCTTATTTAAACTTTACTACGAAAAATAGATCAGTGAGACAGTGACGGTAGCACATTACATGGCAACCATTTTACACAACTATATTTGTCTACACTTGTGTGCTCTATCTTTGTGTATTACGGCCTAGCTGGATTTTTTCTAAGGTAAGCTACCTTAGCAACTGCTAGTCTAAAAATCACAGTCCCATCCTAAAGTCTATTCTTAAACTGTACTAACCTTAAATTATTGTTATCAGTTTAAGTTGAGACAAGTTTATTATTTTGATTTTAGTTAACCGATTGTATTAATCACCATGCTAAATATTCATGGTCGGTTGTTGTCATCTCAAGCATTGAGGAATCTATGTAAGATGGTTTATACTAGATTGTAGATGTTATCCTCCGGATTGCCAAATAATATTAAAAGGTTTAAATATTAGATATGACCAACTACGTACTGCCTGTCCCTGGTACGGTGGAAACGTCCGTCTTGCAGAGCCAGCTGCTGGTCGACCTCGTCCTCTACCACTGCACCTCCCTGGCTGTGGTTTTGGTTCAGGCTGGACAACCGCGAACTACTACTGGACGGTGACGCCGGAACAGAACCTCCCTTGGCTATGTCTCCTGTAGCAGTGGAGTGCAAGTCAGTAAATTTATAACTTTTAACAAGAAACTTAGATACAAACTAATATAAGCAAAACTAAATTTTCAAAGAAAATTAGATACCGTACAAATTAATAAACGCAAAATCAGTTTTTACAAGAAACTTTGATACAAACTAATATAGGCTAGGCAAAACTCAATTTTTACAAGAAACTTAAAAACAAATTAATATAGGCAAAACTAAATTTTCACAAGAAACTTAGATACAAAAATAATATAGGCAAAACTAAATTTTCCCAAGAAACTTAAATACAAAGTTATATAGGCATAACGAAATTTTCACAAGAAACTTAGATACAAATTAATATAGGCAAAACAAAATTTTCAGAAGAAACTTAGATACAAATTATTGCTCTGAAAAATCTCCAATTCATGATAGCTGGCTGAATGAAGAAAACTGAGGAAACAGACATTAAATAAACTAAAACTAAATTATACATTCACCACTTAAAATTCAATTTCAATTCAATTCAAAAAGAACATAACCGCATAGTATAATTTTTCAAATGTACAAATAGTATATAGTGACTTGGAGGCAACAAACGACCTTTTACTTGTAATTTTTATGTGGGCCTAGTTATAGGCTCTAAGAAATTACGAACCTAAGCTGGAGCTCTTGCTGGTCCCGGGCTTGTCCCAAGGTACTGTTCCGTTTATAGATACCATGTAGACCATGTCTCCGTGACGCAGACCGATGCTGCCAACCGTGCTGCTGCGTGACGACACAATCTCTTGAGCGCGCGATGGCTCTCGATACAAGGCAAATGTGAAGCCTGGCAGCTCAAAGGCATTGTGGACCTGAACAAAGGAGGTTGGGTTATAACAGTACCTACCCTACGGGCTAGTTAAAATCATAGTGGTTAAAGTGAAGTTAGGAGATAACATCCTGTTTGGGCAAAACAAGTAAAGATCCCCTAATATTCTCTAATAGTAAAACTTGTCAAAAACAAGATAGGTCACCTTTTAAAATGATGTAATTGTTTAATGCGGGAAGAAGCTCGTTTATGTACACTGACACCACTAGTGTGTGAAAACGTAATTATAAGTAATAAAGTATACAAGATTAATGCAGAATCACAAGGCAGAGTGACAGTTATAGTATCCTTTTTGATTGTATCTACCTTGATACAGAAAAAAATCATTATAAAATCTTACATTTTCTACACAATACCTCTATTATAACTTCTTGAACTCCAAGTACAAGTCAAAACTAGTCATCCAGGTCTTCTTCATAACCAATTACCTTTACCCCACTTACATTTCATATAGGTAGGTTAACTTTGAAGGAACTGTGTTAAAATGAGTACCGGTATGAGAGATTGCTACATTGCATGAAAAATTGTTCAACATTTTGACAATTATACATATTAAAGACTGCAGTATATATAGGCAAAAAAACAATACGTTCAACCCTATGTTATCAGTTACTAGATGTAAACTTATTTATAAAAGTTAGCAAACATAATGGAAAATTGATAAACTTATGAAAATTATTAGTATTATAGGAACACACCTTTTCAAAAAGTGTAATTGTAGAGTCACTAGGAGAAAGTTCAACTCTCTTTGTTCCTTCGGGTGACTGAATCCGCAAAATCTGTAATAACCAAAAATGTTGATTTACATTTACAGTTTTTAGCTTAAGGGGTCTAAACCCAACAATTAAGTAACTTTACTCAACCCACGTCGTTTGAGTGACCACTCATCGACCTGTTACTAAATTTAGGCCTGTACTTACATTTCATTGCTGGTTAAAACACTATGTAATAGCATTTCAAAGTGGTAAAACTATACTAAGTTAATTTTACGAATAACACGGTAGGCAGTACCTTTGAAAGGCGTGTTGTTTAGCATAATGAAGACAGAGAAATGTTGTTATCACGGCACTGTAAAAATTGTAGAATTCATTTTCAATAGCCTATAACCCTAGTTCCTACTGTTTTAGTTCCTACAACAAAATATGCCTAAGTTACTGTTCCAAAATATTGGCCTATTAAAATTGTCAGTTTAAACAAGTTTAAAGGCCTGTAAACATGGCATGGTACAATAACAACGGAGAGCCTTAGTTCAGTCAAGTAAAACAACTTAGGCCTAAGTAACTTGGCTTATGACCGTTTAACTATATGCAAGTTAAAGCTACTGACTTTAAATGAACCTTGGATCCAAACACATTTTTTATGTTTGGCATAACTTATTGAACTAGATGAAAATCTGAACAATAGGCCTACTTGTATCAAATCATCATATGGATAGAGAAAATGTTTACCTTGTGACATAAAATGAATTAAAATTTAAAATAAAACTAAACTCTATAGAAAGGTAATTAGATTTCAACAGAATTGCCTAGGTCTCTATCTTATCTTTGGAAACTTAAAAATCTCCTTCTTACTGCAGAGAGCTTGTTATGTTAGTTTCTGTAAACGAAACAACTTTCATCCTAATCAAAGCTTTCACAAGGGCTTATAATTAGAGTACCATTATCAAATATGTCACTAACTGAAGAAGGCTAATATTAGGCCTAGGTCTTATAATACCTATTTAATTATAACGTTTGGGGGTTAACTAAACATTCTGGATATCAAAAATTTTTACAGTACATTGAACTGTTGCACTTTACTTTAGGTCACTATAACTTACTCATTCGAATAAAAATATCGATTATTCGATTGTTTCATTTGATATATCGTTTGGTTAGTTAGGTTAGGTTAACCTTACCTAACTAACCAAACCATATATCGAATGAACCAATCGATTAATCGATATAGGGCTATCGATCGATATTTTCATTCGAATGAGTGTTCGACCTAGAATGAGTGTTCGACCTAAAGTTAAGTGCAGCCCATTGAACATGTTGAAGCTAAATAATCACATAGCCTATCCTAGTTAAGTTAAATCAATCATTTCATGCAGGTTTACTCGCTGTCAAAATAATTTAAATGTCTAACTTAAGACTTTGCAATTTCTACACACATTCCCTGTAAGTTTTATGGCTATTTAAACTAATAATATTTGCATACATCAACTAACTTAGGCTAACTTATCTTTAAAAAGTGGAAAATTTCAGAGTTAGGCCCAGCCCTAGCCAAGCAAGGCCCAAATTCTACATTGGAAAAAAATTACAGTAGGTAGGCCTAGGCCTACTCAAAGACGACAAGATCTCTAAACCATATAAATAGGCTAAGGGCTATGGTGAAACTTGCTTGAGTAAATCTATAGATATTTCAAATAGAAATTTCAATTTTTATAGACCTACTCAGCGGATTGGAAAACTCAAATCACCAAATTTAATTGAGGTTAAATTTAAGATTTACATTAGGCCTACTTGCTAATAGATGCTAGTTTAAATTTTTATTCAGTAGAACATAAATTATGAATTGGGGATGGAAAATTAATGATAGGCCTTTAAGAACCAACAAAAACTAGGCCTATTAACTACATCCCATAGAATTACTAACCATAGTTTCTTTGAAAGTAATGACAAAGCAACAATAGAGTGTTTACTATGGTAGGTAACACTAGCTTAGGCTGGTGCTCTGACAATCCTTTTTTTAAGGGTTAAATGAGCAGAGTGTGGCGAGATAGGAATGTGTACTTAAAAACCAGTTCTATTTCTAATTTTTAACACAAAAATATGCTTACAATATTTTTAGACTTCGACATAATATCGCATTTATATAATGCTAAATTCTGATCTCGCTGTCACTGTATGCTTGCTTGAGCTGAGCTCATAGATCAGCTGTTTTTCATTTGCAGTCATCCAGCCAGGCAGGCATCTATGATTTCTGCTCTGAGGCTTTTGGATTAAATAAGCCAATGTCATCTGTTGTTATAATTTTTTGTTCGTACATGCGTAACACCAAAATAATTATACAAAATATATTAATGGACACTAAAATCGTAATAAAATACTTGGGTTGATGTGTACTGGCAGTTGGTGAAGTATATAGTTTCCTAGTTATTAAACCAATCTTTACATTATAGCACCGTCCATTACTATTGGGTTTCCTATAAGGAAATATAACTAAAGACTAAAAAAGCATGTCATAAAATCAACGAGCATATATCTCCCCAATATGTCCAGTAGGGAGATGCAAGTTCAACATTAAACTACTCCCATGCTCATCTCTTATGAAAACCATACCTACAAACAAGTAACGAAGACACATCATACACTCTTCTTGATGGAATTCTCTTTTGACAAGATCAGACCAATGTTGGGTTTTGATTTAGAGGGGGGGCCTCCTTAAATGTGTCCTGTTTCTCCTGACTTTTCTTCCATCATTCTGATTTATAATGTTCTAGCTGGCCCGACAGACGTCGTCCAGTCCTAATGTGGTTTTATGTCAAATGCTCGTTCATTTTCAAGATGAGCACGTTCGCATGGCTCAATCACGTCTTGGTTGAAGTTCGTTCGCTACGCTCACTCACCTTTAGGTTGGAGCTCGTTCGCTGCGCTCACTTGCCTTCAGGTTAGCTCGTTCGCTACGCTAACTCACCTCCAGGTTGAAATTCGTTCGCTACGCTCACTCACCTTTTGGTTGCAAATTAGCTGTTGTCATAAATTGAAAAAAATAATAGTGCTGCACCCTGTTGGTAAACCTATTAACTTTTTAATGCTATTGAACATCATAGAATTAAATTCTTTAGTTGAACCAGCTGTTAAGAATCTTTAGTTCCATTTAAATATGAGTACTCATAAGGTTAACATGGGAAACTCCAGAGCCACTGGGGCGGAGCCCTTTTGACGGATCTGCACCAAACTTCACACAAACCATCCTTGAATAATGCTTAATAATACCTGAAAGTTTCATTACAATCTGTCGAGTGGTTTCGGAGTCCATAAAGGACAAACAAACATACATACATACAAACAAACATACATTGGATTTTATATATATATACCCCCGCCGCAGCAAACCTGCAGACTAAGCGAATTTCCATATACACAGCTGGAATTCCACTAAATTGTTCCCTTAAAATTGTCAGATTTATTTCCTATTTAAACATCATTAATATTAATGAGTACTTAGGTTTGCTGCTACAGGGAAGAAAATAGGGGGTTTTTATTGAAATATTAATAGTTTAGTATGAAGTAAACAAAATTTCAAAATTTCATTAATATATGTCCATACACAAGCAAGCTACAAACACTGTATTTATTCTCCATAAGAATAAAATGGTAATTTTAAATTTACATTATTTTGAGATTTTTCCGTAACCGTTAGGCATGCAACAATGCTTCAATATACTAAATTATTTGTTTTTTTGAGCTCTACAAAATGGTTTAGAAAGAAATTGCAAAATTTTATGTTTTCAGGGTGAAAAATTAGAAAAACCCATTTTTACCCCATAAAACCCCCCATAAACCCCTGTTCCCATAGTCCGATCATGCTGGTTCGCGAACTCGTTCAAATAAATGTAGGTTTACACGTTTATACCAAATTTCATCAAAATCGGACCATTTTTGCTCGAGTTATCACGCTAACGGACACATATATAAATATATATATATATATATATATATATATATATATATATATATATATAAATATATATATATATGAATTTGAACGGATGGTGTTTTTGGCCTCTGGGGACCTCAAAACGAAAAACTAAATCGGTCCCGGGTCCAGATCTTACCATGAGACCTACGGTAATAGCTTATTCCCTATATGGGAAATTCGCTAATATGACCTATGGGTGTTATGTAAGATTTATCCATCTGTCCCGATCCCCATGTTTTACCCTTCTGTACTAAAACAAAACTGATTAATTTGGCTCTAATTTAGTTTAGGCAATGGTTTACGAGTTTTATCGTACGACTACAGACTACGCTTAGCTGTTAGTTTTACCATAGCATTTACATCAAAATTCTTAGGCTTAAGTTGGCTATATATACGCAAGAGATTTTGGTCTTAATCCTTAGCATAAGTTGAGCTGGCGTTATATCGTTGAATACAGTAAATATATTAATATATTTTTTATTTTCACACTTCAGTACACAGTCTTCTGAAGTATTAAAATTGAAACATAATTCCCATACGCACGGAAGTGTGATATTGACTACTTGAGACTTCTAGAGGTTTTATAATTGATAATGTATACTCATTTTGAATACTGATTAGTGTATCCAAGATTTTATGTAACAAATAGGCGCCTGCAAACAATAAGAGCTTACAGCAACACACTGCTGTACATAAGTTGCGTTTTAACTACTGAAGGAGTTGGATAATACCTGTTTAGAGGCAGAACCATAATTTACTGTGGTAGAAGGTAGGAATAAGAGAAAAAGGACCATTAACTAATATATAGTCAATTGCAGAAAAAAGTCAATGAATTAGTTTAAAACACACGGCAATCTTATTTTCTAACTAGATAAATCTTGTTAAATCTCGTATGATTTCAATTTGTAATACTGTTGGAACTCTTCAAAATGTTCTCATGACCAAGAATATTAAATCAAATGTAAACAGTTTGAAATGATATACAAGCAAACGTCCAACATAAGTCATATAATGACGCAGATAAAACATGATGACTAACGTGGGTTTCTATTTAAATATTCAAGATCAAATATTTCCCAGCATATGTACTGTATTTGAAAATAATTAATTGTTTTCGGAAACAGTCCTAATTTTTAGGAAACGTTCAAATAAACAACTGTATTGGACTCTGGCCCTCATTAACTTATCGTCATTGAACAAAGTTTAGTTTAAATATTTCAGATCGTTTTATTTTAAACATCTGTACTATACCCGGCATTGATCACCTGCAGACAGGTGAAGAACAAATTTATATCCCTGCTAATAAAGAAGACTATATAAGATAGCCTATAATTTTCACCACTCTGCGATGTTTTTGTAGTTTTATAAACGTTTATTGTTATTGGAGGCTGAAATACGTATTGCTGTCCTTGCCAGCTGTCATCGTCATTTGGAGACCAAGCAGGTTTTTACATCCCTAGGGCCGAAAATCAGCTGTTCGCTTATTTACTTAAAGTATGTTCGTACCTAGGGCCGAAAATTCGGGTTTTCTGGCTCGAGGCAGTTTATAAGTTCGTTTTTTAAACGATCGAGAGCTGCAAAACCATTTCGGTCCGTATAGTACGAACCACGAACGCTATTTTACACCACACATACCCTAGTAGCACTATTCACAAAAAAATAATTAACACTAACAACTTTAACTTAGTCAACACAACTACAGCTTTAAAATTATGTGAAGAAATATTTTGAGGAATCAGACTATTTATTATTTTTGCTGATACCTCTAAATACTTCTTCACATAACCTTACAGGTGTAATTGTGTTCATTTATTGTATATATTTTCCCAATTTCGTATAGTGTGGTGAAAAAAAGTGTTCGTACCACTGACTGAAAGGGTTTTGCAGCCCTCGATCGTTTAACAAACGAACTTATTTATTTTATCTTCAGCAAAAGGAAAACCATACATTAACTCTCTAATTACTTCTAATATCGAGCAACAATACGATTTATTGCCAGTGCTACCAACTGAGCTACTAGAAACTTGATTTATACCTAGCCATTAGACCGTGAAATGATTTTCGTGACCAACTACCGGATCATGGATACTGACCAACTCCTTCTAAATGGAACACAACCAACTGAGTCACCTCTGTATTTCTATGTGTAACTGAGTGTGAAAAAAGCCAAATTTTTAACTCGACATTAAAATATGTATTTTCGATAAGCAGCAGTTGTTTGCGGATATTTAAAAATATTAGACTGGGTTTCAACATCGAATATAAGCCCACTTAAGCATGGCATAGCCACTGAAGGAACTCTATGTAAAACAAGCTATTATCCGGTCCACAGGGATTGCGCCACTGCCAAATCCCCCCCTAAAACGCAACGTCGTTGCGCCAATATGGCATTTCTTCAAGTTCAGAAAATACTTCAAGTACAACTTTAGTTCCTTCCTTCATTATCGGGTTATGTTAGGTTAGGTTAGGTTAGGTAAGATAGGATGGATTAGGTTAGGTTACATTCCATCTTCCGCCCTATTACCCGGCTACCTAGGGTAGCGTTTGGCGCAATCCCGGTGCGTGCCAGGCTGACTCTTTTTAACCCTTACATAACTGGCGCAATCCCGGTCCGTCCTTCTCATTCCCTTGTCTTGGCTGTGGCTGACTAGCTGTATTGAGCACGTGGGAAGTATTTTGGCAGTTCCACGTTCCACGACCTGTAACCCCGTATCATCACTCACATTCCTATCCCGACCTTCACAAACCAGTTCTGTGGAGATGCTATTCATGTGGATAAGTGTCACTGATTGTGCCATATCACTATCTGTATCAGGGACGTATTTAAGTATCTGCCGCCTCTAGGCAACAAAGTTTGCCGCCGCCCCTCCCGCTCCCACTTTTCAACGCACTCCCCAACCTCACTAATATCACCCCAATGGCCAATGCATGCCCTGTCAGCTGGTTTTGTGGAAAAATAATCGGTAATATTGCATGCGGCATCAACAAATTTAATGACTTTTCACCACACTATGATGTTTTTAGCTGTTTTACATGCGTTAATTGGTGGCTGAAAGTTACGTTTTGATGGCCATGCCAGCTGTCATCGTCATTTGGGGACCGACCTGGTTCTTACATCCCTAGGGCCGCAAAATCAGCTGATTACTTACTTTTTTAAACATGTATGCATATTAAATACACAATCAGTATCCATAGCATTGCAATAGAATTGTTTTATTGTCACCGCTGCCTAACA